AGGGTCGGTTGATCACCAAATGTTGGCCTGCCCTTGGGAGTGGACAGAGAGCTTTCTTGCACCCAAATACCGAATTAAATGAAACAAAATAGGAGGGATGAAAGGCAAGGCAATCAGTGGTTCATAAAGATCGCGCCCCAAAGCTGTCAATGCCAACAAATTTGAACAGACTTAATTTGACGTTTAGGACATTTTAGGTTGTGGCTCACTCCCCCCTCGTTTTCCGCCCTCGTATCCTACCACCTCTCTGTCTCTTATGTAATCAAACGTTAAGTGAACTTTTTGCTTCTCCTTCCTTTCTTTTCGTTTCGAATTCTATTTGCGACCCGCCGTTCTTTTTCCTTCAAACCGTTATATACTATCTAACTTTAAAATGAGTTTTTGAATTGGCATCCCACTTTTCATGGATAATCCCATTTACAAGAATTTATTTGGGAGGGATCTCTTTCAATTCTAATGGGTTCATGTTTGAGCAGTGGTTTATCAGATTATCTTCATATTTCGAAACTTTGAAATTTTTTCTTATCTCAGGGCATTTTCAATTAGGCGTTAAAACATTTTTTTTCACAGGTGAAGTGGAGCATTGGGCATATTTGGTTGGAGTCTTTCTTGCTGTTGGGCCTTAGGACACAAAATTTGGGACTAGGTACCACATTTCGTTAGGAGATCCTTGTTGGCTTTTTGCTTTCTTTTTTTTTTTTTAATGGGTTTCGCTCTGTTGCCAGGCTGGAGTGCAATGGCCAATTCTCAGCTCACTTGCCAACCTCCGTGCCCCACCGGGTTCCAGTGATTTCTCTGATCAGTTCCCAAGTAGGCTGGATTACAGGATGCCACCACCACGCCACGGTAAGTTTTTTTTTTTAGCCAGAGACGGGTTTCTCCGTGTTGGTCAGGCTGGTTCTCCGACCCGACTTTCAGGTGTTCGCCTGCTTGCTCCAAATCTGGGGTACAGGCGTGGCCACCAGGCACTACCATGGTGTTATTTTTAAATTTCTATAGAATGGTCAGCTGTCTTCTGGGTAGTCGAGGTTGCAGAAGGTATTTGAGGTCAGTCTTTTTATTTCTTTTATTATCATGGTTGACGCAAGGGCTTCTAGTGCCCTTCCTTATTCTTTCTACGTTTTACGTTGGCCAGGAGTGTATTTCATTTGGGGGTCTTTCAACAATGAGTTTTTGGTTCGATGTCGGCGGGTTGTTTCAATTCAGTAAATTACCGGATCTTTTTTCAGCTCAGGAAATGTTTTTCTGCACTTTCTTCGCTTTGGTTTCTCTTCTATTTATACTGATCTGAGAACACCAGTGATCTGTTTGCTCTCCATTACATATCTTCCATATCTATCCTCTGTTTGCCATTTAGATCTCTTTGATTTTGCTTCTGCAATCCAGGAACACTTTTCAAGTTTCACTTTCATATGACTGATTCAGAGTTTCACAGCGTCATTCACATTTTTTCTAACACTCATGTAAATTACATTTTTCCATAGCATTTTATACCCAAAGCTTTGTTATTTTTGTTTGTTTGTTTGTTTCTTTGCTCCATTTTTAGGGCACCCTGTTCTTGTTTCATGTATACAAATCTTTTATATTTTGAAAGATACTCATTACAGTTTACTTTTTAATATTTTCTTTTCCCTGCACATTGCCTTTTTCATCCAGTTTCCTTTTTTCTCTTGTTTTCTCCTCCCCCATCCCCCACCATACTACCTGCTTTTCTTGGATTTATGGAAAACTTTGATTGTTTGCTTATATTAAAGAGCAGAGGGCTAAACGGCTGCCTGAAACTCTGCATACCTAGATGCAGACTGTCCTCTGTGAATCACTGCAGAGTGCTTACCATTCCCATTGTCAATACAGTGATCGCTTAGTATAAGCAGGGATTGGTCCAAAACTCCTGTGGAACCAAAATCCACGGATGCTCAATTCCTTTGTATAAAATGGAGTGTAGTATTTGCATATAACCTGTGCACACCCTCCTGTTTAACTCATCTTTAGATTACTTATAATACCTAATACAATTGAAATGCTATGCAAATATTTGTTATATTTTATTGGGTTTTTTATGTGCACCTTTTTTTTCCTGAATATTTGCAATCTGCAGTTCATTGAATCTGTGGATGAGAAGCCACAGAAAAGGAGAGCCAACTATATGGTGGGGGCTTTCAGCACCACGGAATGATCATGTCCCCCAGAGAAGACTCATCCATCTCTTTCATGGGAAATAAAGTTCCCTTCTGGGAGCCAATGGAAGAAGAAACTAGTGCTCAGCAGTCAGTATGCAAACAGGTACTTAATCTTCCTATTTTTGGTACAAAACCTGAGAGGTCTCCACTGTTGTCTTCAAGCTGAGAGTTTCAATTTTACCCTGTCTATAATATAAACCTCCAGACTTCTGCTGGGGAGAAGAGACGGCATCCAGTGGCAATCTAAGGGAGAGGGAAGGCACAGAGATCTAGTTTCTTCCTAATTTTCTCAATCCTCCTAAGTTTCTGTCCTGCCCTCTTTCATGCTGGCTTCTAGAAGGACTAGTGCTGCTAATTTCTGAGTCTCTGGATGGGGACTGTGGTGTAAACTGGGTTGGTTCTCAGCTTTCCCTACCTATAGTTGAGGATTCCGCTTTCTCAGATCTGTTGTCTGTTTCCATATGTCTGTCTATTTTACAGCATCAAAATTTTGCCACTATTTTCTTTGCTTCCATTTTCTGTACCCATGTGGACTGCTATATGAAAACAAGACCAAACAAAAATCTCTCTATCATAATGTTATAAGGGTTTGGGGAGGGAACAAAATTAGATGTGTTTGTTCAAAGCTCCATCTTTACCTGGAAGTCCCATTTAGATCTTTTTAGATCTTTGGGGCTCCTTGTTAATTTCACTAATCTGAATCTTAATTTCACCTTTAATCAGAGCTATCTTTCTCCTTAAGCTCCTGATTTCTAGTGGCCTGTCTTTTGGCATTCTTTCAAGGATTCCCAATGGTTTCTTGATAGTCTTCTTAATCGCGTCATAGATCATTTTCAGAGATGAACCCCCTTCAGTCAAATATTTCCATTTCTTTCTGCTATAATATGTTTTCACCAGTCTCATTCATGCTTCTAGTATCTTTATTTATGCTAGAACATGGATAAATATATCCAGACTTCATGTTTATCACGACAGGGTGAGTGAATTACTCTCTTTGCCTAGCTGTTTGATGGTTAAACTCCCTTCTCAGATCTTGAGCTGGAGGGAAGGTTGACACAAACATCTTCTAGTCTAATTTTCTGTCTCTATCAGAGTTTTTAGGGTGTTACTGCTCTATCAGGGTGTCATTTCCTCCATCACCTACTGCCTGGTTATTTGGTACCCAAGTCGGCTTACTGCTTGAAAAACAAGAGATTGTGCTGCTGCAATGATCGTTATCTGCCTATTTTCTCCCATAGACTTTACCTATGAGGATTTTAAGACCTTCCACTCCCAGCTCATCTATGCTGCTGCCTCTTCTCCCTCCTACAGTCCACTCTATCTCACAAATGCAGTTGTTTATAGGGGTTTTCATTCTCAACATGGATGTAGAAGGATAAGGTGGGAAGGAAAGGCAAGGCCAACAGACCTCTGCTCATTTCATAGAATAACATCATATAGTAAGGGTGGAAAAACTACTTAGCTTTTCTAATTGGACCATAAAAAAATCTTTCTTTTTAAAAAATCATCTCTATGAAACCTGAGTAGATGTTTCTCATCCAGATCTATTTGCTTAAAATTTACATCAAATTTTTTCTAGATTCTGGCATGCGTTTTCTTGCCCATCTTAGTTTTGGAGCAGAAATCTGAGCTTTTATTTTTTCTGTGACTTCATGAAACACTTGCGCTACTTCCCAACTCAGCATATAGGCTTAGTTCAAAAGCTCATCCCCTCCTGGTCACAAGATGATGACACCTTTCAGGGCACGTCTTCTTACAACCAATCCAAAGGTAGGAAAGGCAGCTTCTCCCTTACTGTGTCTTTTTATCAGAGGGGGAAATCTTAACCAGGAGCTTCCCAGCATCCTTCTTTTGGGGTTCCATTGGCCATGATTAAGCCATATGTCCAGGGGAGTCTGCAAGAGTCATTATCTAGCATTTTCAGTTTGTGTGCACGTGATGGTGGAAGGAGTTATTTGCAGTAAGGGTAAAGGTAACAAGGAATGGCTGTTACATAAGCAAAAAACAGTCCTTGCTATCAGCCTATGAAAATCATTGCATTCTACATAAGTATCTTGTAGTTCCTGACTAGAACAAATCAAAGTCATCTTTACGTGAGAAAGATCTGTGTCATTTCCATACCTGGTATAGCCCTCCTCCTTCATGAGCAAGATCAACATAGACCTTGTCAATCATATAATAAATCCATTTTGTTTCCAGTTTTATTCAGGTTTCTAAGAAGCTCTGAGACAAATTTATGATCCATCACTGGTAAGTAAGCATTATTTCTCATGGTCTACATTTTCTAAACTTCCAGTTTCATTGAACTTCCCCACCTTAATTTTCTCTAAACTCTTCTCATGTAATCTTATTTTATTTCATTTGACCCACTGTATATATTTTCAAGAGTATTCTTACATCTTAAGTCCTTTTGGAATAAGGCCAAGTCTAAATAATAATTAATTAACTACTGATGTTTTTATATCCTGGTATTAAATTATACTCGAGAATTGGGACTGTGTTTTGCTGATCTTTATATATCCTATGTTTCCTTGTCTATAGTAGCACCCAATAAATGTTCATGGAATTGAATTGATTCATCCCCAGGGCTACTCGAGTCCACCAATCCTCTAAATGTGGTCTTCCTTTTATTTTCTAGGGGATTTTAGGATTACAGGCATCAACCAGTTGATCTTGTATGCACAGACAGATAACTGGAAACCAGTCCTTTCCATCCATGTGGTTCAATGTGTGAATTCTTGGACCGGCCTGAGATTGTTATATCAAACAAATGCTTACAAGTATTGATCTGCTTTGACTGAATAGCAGCTCAGCCAAGCCAGCACACAGCTGCCAGAGTCACACTGGGCCACAACAGCTGGAGACAGACATAGGAAACTAGAAATCATTCAGTTGCAGCCCCTCCAAACCATGTTTGACATGCTATTTATCTTCTCCCACTGAAACTCTCTCTTTCCAAATAAATGAGGGTGGGTGATAGCTTGGGGGTTGTTTACCTTCTACTGAACAAACAAGTCTGAATTAGGAATTAGAATCAGTGAGTCTAAAATGATGAACACGCTTACCCTAGCATTACTTAGAAAATGGGAAAAATAAATTAGATTACTACTTGGAAGGACTCATTGGTTTGAAGAGCAGCAGGGACTTAATTGCAGGTCTAAGGCAGCACAGCCTCCGTTTTTCTTCAACAGTCTACAGCTTTCCTCAGAGCAACAGGCAGAGAGTGGATTCCTTAGAGAGTACTGTGATTTGCAGCAAGCCAGCAGAGACAGGCAGCAGGACAGGACCTGCAATTTGCTCTCTAATGACATGGTGATGTCACATTTTCATGGGCCCTGGGATTACTACCTAGCACCTTGTTTCAAACATTTGCTGTCTTGGAGAGCTCCAGGGCACATCTTTCTGTTCCATGGGATGCGTCAGAAGCAGCATCGTGACAGAACTGGTGAAGTGAATGAAAGTGTTTTCATTTCTCAGGCAGAGTTAACAGGAAGCTTTACTCCATCAACAGCTGTCCTTGATACGGTATCTTTTTGTAGAATAACATATAACAACATAATGCAGTTTGCTTGAAATTCTAATTAAAATGAGGTACTTGTCTCCTGCTTCAGCCAAATGAAATTATGGAACAAGACTTACAAGCAGCAGGGACTCATTTCAACAGTGCAACTAGCCTGCGAAATCAGAGTCCCCAAGCAACAAACAAAGTCAGCTTTCAGAATTATGGGACTTAGAGGGTCTACTGTATCCACTAAAAGCATGTGTGTGTGTGTGTGTGTGTGTCTGTGTGTGTGTGTGCATGATTGTGCGCACAGAGCAGAAAGCTAAGGCCTCTAAATAACATTCACATAACAGTTGTAGAACACATGTTAATATTGATGTGCAATATAATACAGTAGAAGCTTCCTGTGATGCCAGCCTCCCGTGACAGGGCTCAGGCTGACCTTTCAGGTAAAACCACCTTATAATTAGGTCCATTTGTTACTTGAGATGACTGCTCTGGCTGAGACCCAAGGTCCCCTGGTTGCACATTGCCTCATCCATACAATAATGATGTATTAATAAGGAATGGCATTCTTTGCTGCTACATAGTCCTCTGTGGGACTTCATTTGTTTAAAACCAAACTCTGTAAGAAACCAAAAAGCAGAAAGAAAGAGTGCACGAATCCGTGTCAGCTCATACCAGAAGAGTTTGTTATAGACATGGCACAAATATCTTGCAATATAGTTTACCAAAAGTAATATGCACTGATATTATATTTATATATAAATATATTTTAAAATATATTTATATTTATTTATATGTTTATATTAAATATAATGTATATTTAATATCATCTAGCATTATCTATTATATTAAATATAATATGCACTTATATTATAAACATAATATTGTATTTAATATATCATATTAACTATAACATCAGTGCATTATATTAATATATTATATTAATATATCATATTATTAAATATTAATATATCATATTATTAAATATTAATATAAAATATTATATTAATATATCATATTAAATATAATGTCCATGCATATTATATTTAATATCAGAGCACCTTCTAAATGCCAAACACTGTATAGCTTACCCATTGCTTCTCAAAGAATTCCCTGACATACCATTATCATTCCCACTTAACATATGCAGGAGCACATTTTAAAGGGTTAGGTAACCTGCTCGAGGTCATGCAGGTAATAAGTGGCAGATTCAGGGTTGGAATTCAGGCAGCCTATTCCAGATCCTAAGCTCGTAAATACTAATTCCAGTAGCCAGCATGTATATAACACTTACTTTGTATGGGGCCCTAGGTGCTTTGTATTTGTGAAACTCATTTAATCTCCACGTTGATTTTCTTACGTAGATACTGTAATTAACCTTATTTTTATTGGTGCAATTAATGAAGTATACAGAGGTCATGTTACATGCTCAAGGTCATGGACTTGCAAAACGGCAAGGAGGAGTGGGCCAGGGACTATATTTTAGCTACGATGCTATTCTCCTCTCCATGCCATCCTCTGCCCGAAGGTCTGCTTGAGCAGCGTTTTGTTGGTTTTGAATTTCAGTGCTGTTTTTGTATCTTTCTTATTAAAACCACGAAAAGCCCTTTTTTTTAATAAAAGGGGCTACTCACAAGTATCCCTTTGTATTTGTCTCTGCTTCTCTTTTGGGGACGTCAGCTGGCAGCTGAGAAAACAAATTTTAATTCTTTCATTGAGATAGGCTTAGGGCAATGGGGATATTACTGGTCATAGAGATTTGGAAACCATTCCTCTTTTATAAGTCCCAGGTGGTTTGTTGGGAGTAAATGAGTGTCCTGCCTTAGCTATTACTCAGGATAATAGGACAAATATTTCCATCCAAATCTGAGTGATCGAGTGCATGAACAGTTTTGTTACAACAGCTGAAAACTAGTAAATCAAATGAGGTACATTGATTTTAAAATAAAAGTGTTCCCTTAGAAGGGTCCCCCAGATGTGCAGAGAAACTGGTGCCAGCAATCACCCATAATACAAAGCCAAAATCTCAGGAACAGCCAGCGGTAGACACAGCCCTGGCCACAGAGGCCGTGGGAGGTGGGGCAGGGAAAGACAGGTTTCATCATTAAGCCAGAGGACTAAGTGATAAATTAGATTGGACATCTACATCAGTGTGTGCTTAGGGAATGCCAGTTCATTTTAATATTAACCTGTAAAAATGTAATTAACTAAACATAACTCCTTGCACAAACCTCTACGTTATACAAAATAGACGGAAATAAACAAGAAATACTGTCTGCACCGAGTTTACTTCTTGAGACTGAACGCAGATGTAGATCAAAGGTTGAAGAAGCACATATCATCAGTGGCTTTTCATATATAATATGTATTTTTAGAGATGGGGTCTTGCTATGTTGTCTAGGCTAGTCTTAAACTCCTGGGCTTAAGTGATCTTCCCACCTTAGCCTCCCAAGTAGCCGGGACTATAGGCGTGTGCCCCCACGTCTGGCTGATCTTTTTAATAAACAGATAAAAACACAGATAAAATTCAAAACCAACAAAATGTAGCATATATATATGTGTGTGTGTATATATACATATATTCATCTGAATATTTTTCTTCTCAGGAAATCTCTTTCTGCAAACTGCTGGTTACTGTATTCCTTCTCTCAAGTTGTAGAATTCAAGCCATAACTGGATTCATTAATAACTATGGCTTATTGGGCACCTACTATGTGCCAAGTGCTTTTTAGGTGTTATCATATTTATCCTCCCAACAACTCCCAAGAATCCGTAATATTATCCTCATTTTATGAGCAGGAAATGGAAGCTGAGTGAGGTTTGGTAACTTGCCCAGGCAGCTAAGTGTTTGGACTGCCTGGGATATAAACTCAGAGTTGCTTGATTCCAAAGTACTGAGCCTACTATCTCTAGGAGAACATATTTGAAAGGATACCCTGACTATGAAACTGCAAAACCACTGGTGATACAGCAATATCACTGTAATATCACTGGGTAGCCCTTTTGGAAGGGGAGTGGCTGTAGTTACTAAAATTGTGAAAGGAATTCTACACTAGAAATGCATGCTAAGGTTGGGCACAGTGGCTAACACTTGTAATGGCAGCACTTTGGGAGGCCAAGACGGGTGGATCACGTGAGGTCAGGAGTTCGAGACCAGCCTGGTCAATATGGCAAAACCTCGCCTGTACTAAAAATAAAAAATGTAGCCCGGCATGGTGGTGCACATCTGTAGTCCCAACTACTAGGGAGGCTGAGGCAGGAGAATTGCTTGAACCCATAAGGTGGAAGTTGTACTGAGCTGAGATCGTGCCACTGCACTCCAGCCTGGGTGACAGAGCAAGACTCTGTCTCAAAAAAAGAAAAAAAAAGAAATGCATCCTAAAGACATGCTTGCACATGGACTCCAGAATGTTCTGACATTTTCCTATTTCTGTGTAAAATCGGAAAAATGTAAAAAATCATAATAATAGTCAACAGAAGAATATGCAAATAAACTATGATTCATCCTTAATATGGAACATTGGGCATCTGTGAAAGAGAATGGGAGAGTGCTATATCTACTGATGGGGAAAAGTCCTTCAGGTCATATTTAGTGGTCAAAGCGAGTTGCAGAACAATATGCATGATATGATTCCATTTACATTTTTAAAAGATATGTACATATGTACATGAATATTATAAAAGCATAGGATAAGAGCTGGAAGGAAGCATATAATTTCCTGGGATGGATGTGAGAGTTTAG